CTGCAAAACTCTGGACAACCATTAAATAGCAGCAAAGATATATAACAATTTTACTTTTTTTTTTTTTTTTGCTGTGAAAGAATCTTTCCTTCCCTGAAAAAAATATTTTTAGGCACCAAAAATAGATTTCCTGAACCCATAACAATTCTTTTCATGCTTTACCAGGTATTATTTTTTTAATTAGAATTTTTCCAATTCTAATAAATTTTTAGGTTGAAGTTGCATTTTCCTTGGCTTGTATTGTTCTAAAGAATAGCAATCTGCAGTCTGTATTACAAGAGAAAGAAGGTTTTCGTTATTTGGATGTCCTTAAGCTTTTTTATGCATCAGATAAGGTAATGACTTCAGTAAAATATTTGGTATTCAAATTATAAAATCAAATAATAAATTAAGAATCTTCAGCATCTAGAGCTGTGAGTACATACATTTGGAATTTTGAGGATGCACAAAAATGGTTGGAGTTAGCTCAGACCACAAAAAATAACTTGTCACTTAAGTAAATAATGAAATTTGTATGCAATGTGTTAACTGGTGACAATTAAATATCTACATGTATTGGAAGTAACTGTGCACATTTTATATACATGGATATCCTCTTGCCAATTTAGTAATATTTGATAACATAGCATTCACTCTGACAGCATAACCTTTTCTTTTTATTAGAGGTCTTTTTATTATCTTTTCTTTTTCTCTTCCATCTTTTTCTGTTATTTCTTGTAATTCTGAAGGCAGGAATGCTAAATTACTTAAGCTGTCCTGAATGTTTTTCCAGAGGAAAAACACAATCAAAACTTTAAATGAATAGTGTAAAAAAGAAATTAAATCCTTTTAGCTCTCCTGGAATTCAAAGTAGACATGGTGGCTTGGTTTGTTTGAAAAATCTCAATATCTAAATGTGAACAATGTTTATATGTTACTATTTTCTTCTTGTTTTAAGGATATTCGTTTACGAGCAGGATATGCTATTGCAATTTTTGCTTACAATAATCCTACTCAGCAGATACTGATTTTAGAGGCTGGACCCATATCAATCCATGTATTTGAACCTCTTCTGGGCTCAGATGTAGAGACAGATAGAGCAATGGCTGCCTTTCAGGTACAAAATTAGGTGTTGCATGTATAGTTGGTTCAGAATTATTTCTGCACAATTATCAATAAGCATTTTGGAAAAATAGAGTTGCCACATAGAACTTGAATTTCCCTGTTGGGAAGATTCTGTTGGAATCCAAAAAAAGTAGACCTCCATAATACTTGAATATGGAAAGATTATGACCAGAAGCCAGATTTCCTAAATGCTGTTCTCTAGAAATTTCAGGCACTTAATTCCCCTCAATTTCCACAAATCGGGTTAATAACTGGATTGCAACAGAAAGCCTTTCTAAAATAACTTTTTCTAATGGAAGACTTTCCAGTTTGAGGCAGGCTAGATTGATGGGGTGCATGATGCGTTGATCTGGAGTGGGCCCTTCTTTTTGAATGATCTGCTGTAGAAAGTGGTGTAGCTAGATATGATAAAAAGCAAGGGCTTTTATGTCAGTGTACAAATGTTTTGAAAAACACTCTACAGTGTTGGTCTGTTAAAATCTTGGTCTGTTAAAATCTTAAAATCTTTTGTTGGTCTGTTAAAATCTTAATTTTTCAGAAAATCTTTGAGGAGTTTGATGGCTGATTCAAACTTCTTCAGATATTTCGAGGAGATTAATTAATATTTTGAGAACATTTTGCCTATTTTGTTCCCCATTCCTGGTTTGTTCTTAGGCATTATTGGACACTTTGAGCCCTTTTACTAGAGTTGTAGATCTTGTTATGCTGTGATTTTCTGCAAGTCTATATAGAATTAAAATGGACTACATTATATAAAATTAGTATATTTAAATTTGAAGCATAATGAATATAGCAATGCTCCAATGAATCAAAATGCGGAAGGGAGTGATGGTGATAATATAAAATGCTTTACCTGCAACTGTCAACTCATAAAGCATTCCTATGCCTGTTTTAGTAGTTGCAATTAAAAAAGTGGGAGGGGAGGGGAGGAAGGAAATCTAGAAGAGCAGTTGAAAGCGAAAGTACATCCCAAATCTTATCTTTAAAAGATTGTAACTAAAATACCAGTTTTGCCCGTGAATATATTTAATTGGAGTACGTGAATGATGTCACCCAGCCTGTGAATGTGCTCAATTGGAGAATCTGGTTTATGAGACACCCGGGGGGAGGGGAAAACAGGGTCACAGGTGTCTGTAAATTACATATGCCAGAGTTGGCTTCATACAGGGCAGTACCAGTTATCTTGCCTCTAATGAATCCTTTGAAGTTTTTTGAAGTTTGGCTCCAGAATCATGATTTAGAGTGATTGCTGGAATCCTGACAGCAACCTTAACTAATGCAAATATTTTTTTCTCCTACTACTGATTTTGTAATTATAAAATTCCCAGTGGTATGTGTATTTAATACTGTCACTAAAATTATTAGACTATTATATTGTGAAAAATAAGAAATGAAAAAAAATTGCAAAATTATAGGAAATCTGTTTTACCTGTTGTGTCAAAAGGTATCTTCTATTTCAGATAGTAGTATTAGCAAAAATTATAATTGATCTGGATCAAGTTAGTTTGTCTGCAAGAGGAATTTCTACCTTGGTTGACCTACTATGTTCAGAAAAATCAGCCACTTTAGTGTTAACAGGTACTATATAAAATATTAAAATACTGTGCAGTATCACTGCAGTGACAAACTGTTATTAACTATAATGTGATGCCTAAGAGTGAAGATTTAATGAAGGAAACAGGGCTAATCTATGGTGGTGCAGTGGTTAGAATGCAGTATTGCAGGCTAACTCTGCCAACTGCCAGAAGTTCAATCCTGACTGGTTCAAAGTTGACTCAGCCTTTCATCGCTCCAACATTGGTAAAATGAGGAGCCAGATTGCTGGGGGTAATATGTTGATTCTATAAACTTCTCAGAAAGAGCTATAAAACACTATGAAATGGTATATAAGTGTAAGTACTGCGGTTATTGCTAAAGTGGTCCCTGTATCCTTCTTCAAGAGTCTCAGAAGGCTTCATGTGATTGTGTTCATACAGTATATGCAGAAAAAAACATCACTCCACACTGACTTTGAAAGAAGTATGAAAGGAAGAAAAAATTAGGCCATCATCTAGACCAGTGTTTCCTAAAGTAGGGTTCTGGGAGCCTTGGAGATTTCCAACACCCTCTCAGGATTGTCAGATCAAAATTATTTGCTAGCCTATGTTGAAAAATAATACCATATTAACATCTGTCAAACAATCATGAGAAGCAGTAGCAGCAATGAAGACATCCATTTTAATTTTTAATATGATATCAGTAAATATAACCCTACAAACAAAACTCCTTTGGTACCGCCATAATTATTAAATCTGAGAAAGAATCCTGAGAAGAAAAAAGTTAAGAAACACTCATCTAGATCATATTAGATAGGATGTAAAACATGCTATCTTCATGGTCAGGTTTTTTTTCCTTTTTAAATAATAACCAATATAGTATTTAACTGTCTCCTTTCTTCTTCTTTTCCTTCCCTTTCAGCCAAAGGGTACCATTTGCCATCTTTGGGGTCAAACAACAACTTCAGGGAAGGGAAGGGAAGGGGAGAATTTATAGGAGAAAAGGGATGGTGATGGAAGAGATTATGATACTTTAATTGAAAATAATTAATTGGAAAATACTAAAAATTATAAAAACAATAAAAATATATTAAAAATAGACAGCTGGTGTTAAAGCGCTTTAGTCCTGCTAAGTTTTAGTCCTGCTTTAGGCATGAATGCCAACTGGGTGAGTGATTTTTGGGCCAGTCCAGCCCACCTCAGAAAGTGATTGTTATGGGGAAAATAAGATTACCAGTATTAGGTATGTTCATTCTCTTGAGTTATTTAAAAAATAAATAAAGGCAAGACAAAAAAATCTAAGAAATCAATACTTTTTTTTGATGTAACAACAATGGTCTGAATTAATGTTTGCTTCTATTATTTTGAAACAAAGCCTACACATAAATTTAAGCCCATTGCTTTGCTGGTGCCTAAGTTATATCACTGAAGTAACTATATGGCTGATAATCCACTAGAGCAGGGGTGTCAAACTTGCGTCATCACATGACGTATCGGGACTTTTTCCCTTCTCTAAATTGGGCATGGGCGTGGCCTGCGCATGATGCATCCAGCCAGCAGGCTGCAAGTTTGAGAGCCCTGCACTAGAGCTTACATCACAATTTTCTGGAAAGTATCTCTGAAATAAGCAAGGATTTTAGTTAAGATTTTAGTCAATTTCAATTAAGGTGTTTGATTCCTTCATAGACATATCTGTGCACTTCTCTACCTGTTGAAGTCGTTACTTAATTCAACTATACTTAACTTTTTACCTAGCTGAGCATACCAAAAGAAGAGAAACAAAAATAATGAAATTTGAGCTATAGTATATTAAAAGTCTTGTTTCATTAAAATATTTAAGAAATCACAATTGACTGATACCAGAATTTTTCAGATTTTGCAATGCTTGGACTCCATAAAATGATAAACGTATGATTTCCATTAGTATTGAGATTAAAATGGAGCAGGAAATAAAAATGCTACTTTTAATAATTTAATGTTAATCTATATCTTACAGGTTCCACAATTGCCTACTAGGATAATGCAGGCAAAGGAAGAAGCAAAGCCCAAATCATATTTTCAGTCTTCCATTTTGTCTGCACTAGGCAAGGTTTTCAAAAAATGAAAATCAAATCCATTTTAAGTGGCCGTTACCCCATGATAGGGCATTCTGGCTCACAGTTTGAGAAACATACTTTGCAAGTTCTAGTTGTACGGAGTTGTGTTGGATATAATGTACTTGCGCAATTTACAAATATTTATGCCTTAATTCCATTTCCCCACTCCTAGGAAAATTATTAGCTAGCTTGGCCCACACAAGGGCAGGCATTCCAGAAGCAATCACAAGCTTGGGAACGGTCCAACGTCTTTGTTATCATTTATATGCAAAGGAAGAGGAGGTAGGAATTTAAAATTCTGGTAAGTTTTCTTACTGTTCAGTAGAGACCAGAATCTCTCCCTCCCCATTTGATGTCAATGGAGCACCATATCATGGAGTACTGTTTTGTCTTGTACTATTATATGTTCATTTTATTCTGAGCTCTCAGATCATCTTTGCTTTCTTGGACCTGTTAGTGGCTCTAGTATCTTTAGACTGTGATTTTCAGATATCAAACTCATCCCAGTCCATCAAAAATGTAATACAGTGCTCACAAACTCACAAAAATACAAAATTGGGCAACAGGGAAAGATATCTCCAAATAATGGATGGAAGTGACATATATAGAAGTCCTGTTTTCTGCAAGGGATTTTTTTCAGGACAATCCAGAACTTTTATTTTAATTTTCATAGTTCTCTTGCTTTGTTGGATAATCTGATTCACTGATCCTAAACAAAATTAATAAACTGCATTCCTACAATATGGATGTCTTCTAGGTTCGTTCAGCTGTGGCATGTGCTCTTGGCTATCTAACATTTAACCGAACTGCGTATCGCCATCTATTGGTGCAATGTAGGAATAAGCCCAAGTTGTTCAAGAGACTAATAGTAAATCTCAGCAAAGATGCAAAAATAAATTCGGATTTTGTAAAGGAATTTATGAGGCAGAAAAAAGTTGGGCTCCCATCTCTCAGGTATGAACAGTATTTAAAATTTTAGTGAAGTTTCAGAATACTGTGCACATCAGTTTTAGAATAAAATTATTTCTATTTGAAAGGATGAATCACGTGAATGTTTGGGAAATAAACCTTCAAAATATGGAGGCTTGAGACTTTACCCAAAAGCTGAGAAAATGAAAGATTTTTATTTATATACAATGAATGCCCTGATATTAACTTGGTGAAAGTATTTCTGGCTGGAAGTAGGACTTTATTCCAGAACAAAGCCACTTGGATTTTTGCAAAATTACCTTTAAATGTTTTAGAAAGCCTGTTTGAAGTATAAAGCCTTTCATGTTTACAATTTACAAATACTTATGCTTTAATTCCATTTCCCTATCCCTAGGAAAATTATTAGCTAGCTTGAATTTATTGGATTCCACAACATATTTTCTTTTTCTATTTGCTTCTGGGTTTTATAGCATTTATAGCAATAGGTTTTATATCATTTTACAGAATTTTTAAAATGTTATTCGTGTTTTCATAATTGTCTTGAACTTATTAGGAAATTATGGTATTTTAAATAAATTTTAATTAAATGTTATAGAACAGCAGTAGTTCAGTTTAATTCAGTTTAATATACATATCTTACTAAGCACAGAATACTAGAAAGCCTGAGATCTTCCATTAGGACTGATGTTAAATATTTCCATAAATACTGTGAATGTTTAACTTTCATCAACCATGGATTCATAAACTTGCTATCATGTAATCATTATCAAATTTAAGGAGGATAGCCAATTAATAAAGCAGACAAAACAAGAGTCCTGAAGCATCACTGTCAGCTGAATCAAATTATAAATAATGGAGAAGCTCAATGAAAGTAAACAAACCAGTTTAGAAACATAGAATGGTTATATTAAGCTTAATTGTTAAGCATGGGGAAAAAAGAATGATTAACAGAATTCTCAAACTACATTATTTAAGAATAGTTTCCGGACTTTAATGAAAGTACTTTACAGAGAGGCTTAGCAGTTGTCTGCATCCAAACTTAAAAATTGGTTTTTATTTTCAGCCTGGAGATAAATGGAGGACCACCTGCTGTCCCTGTACATATACGAGGTAATTTATGCCTAGCTAATAGATATAATGCACAAATCAAGAAAGCATTTGATAGCCACACAAAATATATAAAAGGTTAAATATGCAGCCTAACCCAGATAGATTTATGTGGAGTATATATATAAAATTGTGCTGGGCATATATATTAAAAAATTCATTATCTAATAAAACTTGTGATGTGGGTAGACCGTTCTAATGTTGCTTTCCACCAGAAATTTCTTATAATTCAAACTCTTGTTCTTGAAGTCTCATGAGCTTAGTGAGATGGCTGATCTAAAGCAGCTTTAAAATGCGTACTTGGAAGCCAGTGGTATGCTGGCTGGTGAATTCTGGGTGTTGCAGTCCACATCTCTTTTAAGTTGCCAAGTTTGAAAAACACTGATTTAAAAAGATAAGGAGCTATCCACTCCTATATCCAGGTTCCTTCCATTAAGAGTGACCAATGCTGTTTCTATTCCATGTCTGGATCTGACAATCTGCTTCCCCAAATACCTTCTCCAGACTTCCCCTCCCCAAAAAAGGAAGGTTGGGTGACAGACAGTAGCAATAGCACATAGACTTATATACCACTTCAAAGTGCTTTACAGCCCTCTCTAAGCTATTTAGAGTGTCAGCATATTGCCCCCAACAATCTGGGTTCTCGTTTTACCGATCTTGGAAGGATGGAGGACTGAGTCAACCTTGAGCCTTATGAGATTTGAACTGCCAAATTGCAGGCAGCCAGCAGTCAGCAGAAGTAGCCTGCAGTACTGCATTCTAACCACTGTGCCACCGTGGCTCATTAATTGTGTAGCATGGTTGGATAAAGAGGTGGCCTGACAAGGAGGGAACACACCGCCATCATTTTCATTCTCCAATGCAGCTACTCACTCCACTTCTAGCTGTTCAAATGAACCAGGTAGAATAACTGGCCCACAAGTAGTCCTATTCATGTTGTGACATTATTTTGCTGAACAGTCTGAAATATTCTGCAGGTAACTGATAGCAATAAAAGCAGTGTTTTGTTTTCTAGAAAAATTTCGAGGTACTGGTGTTAAAGTATACAAAGCAAAGTTTCGTCCGAAGGATTCTCTCTTTTTAATTCCTCCAACTTCACATATAATGGGAAGATTAAAAACTCTGGAGAAACCTCACATTCCAGCATCTGGACACTATCAATTTCCACATACAACAATTTCTGACCTTATTCAGGTTTCAAGACCAAGAATTGTTCATGTCGAGGCACTCAAATATACTTTGTCTGTAGAGAAAACTTAAATGTCTATACTGTGGTAGCAGAAAAGATGTTGTTACCATGCAGTTTCATGCAAATAAAAATATGATTGCATTTGTAATCGTTTTAATGTATTTGTTCCAAATTGGGAAGAAAACAACTGTAAGAAATTGATACAGAAATAAGAAATAAAAACACTGGCAATCAGATATGACTTCATGTGTGAAAAGCAACTAACATGAAGAATCAAGGTAAATTAAAATATATCTTTATTTCAAACAATATAGCACTGCAAAAAAAGGCGACATGAAATACTAATACTGTACATTCACTGATAAGCTCTTGAAAACAAGCATTCTGCACAAGACAAATGGCTGTAAAGGTATTGCTGCAAAACTTGAATAAGATTAGCTACTGTTTACCTATGAATTCCATGTTTTCTTTAAACTCACATAATTATTAGTTTCCTTCATTCTCCTGTTGTTTCTGCTACAGGTAGTCATCAACTTATGATCACAATTGAGCCCAAAATGTCTGTTGCTAAGCAAGACCATTATTGAGTTTTGTCCCATTTTACAACCCCATTTACTTGCCACAGTTATTAAGTGAATCACTGCATTGTTAGGTTAGTAACAATTGTTAAGTGAATCTGGCTTCCCCACTGACTTTGTTTGTCAAAAGGTCACAAAAGATAATTACCTGAGTCCAAGGCACTGCAACTGTCATAAATACATGCCAGTTGCCAAGCATCTGAATTTTGATCATGTGACCACAGGGCTGGTGCAACAGTCATAAATGTGAAAAATGGTAACAAGTCACTTTTTTCAGTGATATTGCTGTAACTTTGGTCACTAAACAAATGGCTATAAGTCAAGGATTATCTGTACTCACATCTCCATCTATTTTCCCTCTTCTCACCATTGTAGCTATTCCTTTTTCCTTCCTTTTATTTCCCTTACTATTTCCTTCCTTTTATTCCCCTTACTTTTTAGCATTTTTGCTGAAGAAGGGAAGGAAATATTTGTGCATACGTTTGTATATTTCTGTGTGCTGGAATGGTTTGCATCTAAGAGAAAGAATGGTTGGTATATATTGATGGGATTTGATAGAGACGTTATTTTGTAAGCAACGGTAGTTAGTAGTTATTAATTGAACCAAAGTGACCTTTTTTTTTGGTCCTACCTCTACATTTTCTGGAAAGTAGCTTCTGCCAGTTATATCCACCTGCACAGATATATGAACAGATGTAAAGAACTGACATGTGCTCACTTATATTGGGTGAAAGAATATTGAAGATATTTCAGCTGAAATTTGCAAACCAAGATTACTTAAGTGTGGAAGCTGGATACTCACTTATTCCTCCACCCCCTTCTTTTCTGAGGGTATTATTTTCAATTCGGACCCAACGTGCATAACATCCATTCCTTTTACTTCTGCAAATAGTTCATTAAACCACTGAAAAACATCAGCCTTGAAATTTATTAGATAATGGAACATATATCCAAATTTACAAACAATAAAATGCTTGGAAACACCTTTCTCATTTATAGTGACTAAAAACATATGTCCTGTTTTTTCATTTTCATACCTAAATTTTTTGTCCGCTTATAATTAAATTACTTGGCAATGTCACACAACTGGTCCAGGTGAGCAGGAAGCAACAAAATGGAGTCCCCATTAAAAAACTTTTTAAAAATGACACATTCACTTTGTTCCAAACAATTGAAAAATACCAAACATCATACTGCTAGATTTAGCGCTGGCACTTTGATGAAAGCTTCTTTTACTTGTTCTGAGATATTAGTTCCAAGTGGAGCTCTAAATGGTAACATAAAACACTATAATTAAACATATAATACAAATTCAGGAATGTAGAATTATATATTACAATACATGCATATGTGGCTTCTCTAAGACCCTTCTACATATAATGAAAATTACTATAAAATCAGTAATTTATATAATTGAATAAACCACATTCAAAACAATACGTACATCTATCTCTATTTTACAACACATTTACAATTTACAAACTCAGTTTACAATTTATGCAAATACCTTTTTGTCACTCACCAATACTTCATTTTACCACTAAACACCATTACAACTTTTGATAAAGGAATTTCTGTCTCAAATAACAATTCTATTATTTTTACCAGTTTCATAAAAGAAATAATAATTCTTTTATAATTTTGAACATTATGTAGGGAAAAGAATGTGATTTGTTTATTAATTTATTAAATCTATCGACCACCCATCTTATCACAGGGTACAACTTTAAAAAATCTATCTGATAAGGGAATAACATATTCTGTGCCAAAGAATTATTAGTCATATACAATAATTGTGCAAAAATAAACTTGGCATGTTTTCCTAATTTGTTACACTTTGCTAAGTTTTTCAGGTAGCATTCAAATGCTCCGGGTCAAATATGGAACATTCTATCTAAAGGAAAAACAAAACGAACTGTCAAACTGGAACCTAGACTAAGGAAAAGGATAGCAATTTATGTGTAACCCTGAACAGGCCTTCTCTGGTAGGGGAAAAAAAATATCTTAGCCTTCTCCAGTCTCATGCTTTGTAGATGTGCAATGGCTAAAGAAATTCTGGAAGTTGAGTTCCGAAATAGCTTGGAGATTCCAAGTGGGAATGGGTTGAAGGTACATATTTAAATAATTCAATATACAGTATATCACCTTTTTTTACCCCAATTTTTCCTCCTATAATTTTGAGCAACATATAGACAATAAAATACACCAAGAAAAGTTCAATAAACTAATTAACTACTTACTTTGGTTCATACCGGAAATGTTCTACATTATAAAAGATATCTAATCCTGCAGAAAGTTTTTCAATTCCATTCCTACAAAGGAAATATTTATGCAAGTAAGTAAAACAATTTCATTTCTCTGTTACTTTACAATGAATACAAAGCATTTTATCACACTGACCACAAAAAATTATTGGCAGAGTCTTCAAACCTACTGCCTTATTTTCCATTAGATATTATTCTTGTTAATCTAATTATTTTCACTCTAAGGAACCTGAGGCATCTATCTTGCAATATAAACCTCTGATTTCTTCACATTTTTAATCAAAAAAGGCAAAGGCAGCACTCATTTTTTGGAAAACTATGATGCTAGAGAGGCCTTGGTCCGTAATGAATTATAGATATTTGCCAATTCCATATAGGAAATGCATCTCAAATATTTAGTTTCAGCAGCCCTGCAGTCATTTACCCTTAAAACCCACTACAGGGACATGTTGTGGTTAGCCGGCAGCAGTGAGGAGGAGGTTCCCGAGGAGCCTGTGCTAAGTGCAAGTGAGCACAGGATGATTCCTAGAAGTGAACAGCTGGAGCAGCACAGGCAACTCGGGAGTAAGAATGCTAAGTAATTGCCCCTCCCTCCAGGGAATATAAGCCTGGTTTCAAAGGGTTTTTGCTCTGTAGAAGGCAAAAACGTTTGAAGGACTCAGCATTGTGTGTAGAGACTGTCAAGGTTTTTCTGGTTGGACTAATTGGCTGCAAGCCATCTTTTATCTACAAAGAAGTTTATTTGTAGATTAAAGCTGAGTTACTGAGTTTGTCTGTGTTTGCTCTCTGGGAACCCGGTTGGGTCAGAACAGGACACTTCAGCGCCTGCCTCTCCCCCATCCCACCCATCCAGAACCTCACAAAGCCATCATGCACCACACTTACCTTCTGAAATCTCTGGACCTCATTTTATGCACAGTGGCAATCCAAATATGGCTGCCGTTTTGCCCTCCCCGCTTGTGGCAAAATGGCAGCTGCCAGACAAAGTGCTTTACAGGTCTGCAGAGTGCTGAAGATTTTGACCACTGCTGAAAGCTTTTGCAGCACTGTCCAGAGCTTTCTAAGGTAGCAAAATGAAGCAGTTTGTCCCTGAGCCATGTGGCAGTTACACAAATGCAGCTGCCACTTTGTGGGCGGGAAAAAATGGCAGCCACTTTGAGAATCACTCCATCTGGCTGCACAAAAAAGCAAGTTCCAAGAGGCCTTGGAACTCTTCAAAAGGTAAGTGAGGAGAAGGATGTTTGGCCTGAGAGGGAGGGAATCAGGCCTAAAATGGTGGAGGGGTGGGAGTGGCAAAAGACCTGTCAGGACTCAAGGAGCAAGAAGTGGAGCATTGGCATCTCAAAAGTGGGGGACGCCTTGGGAGGGTCAGGGAAGATGTGCCTGGGCCTACAACTGCCTCCCCAACCAGGAGATAGCCCACACTCCACTTAACAGTTTAATGATTCATTGAAGAGAGCAGGGATTGTGGGGCGGGGGGGGGGGTTGTTAGGTGAGACATTTCATCTAAAGATTGTCATGACATGTGACTATAATTACAGTAGTATCTCGAAGACTATCTGCGCCCCGAAGACATATAATGTATATACACTATAAAAAGTGCATGTTGCCCAACTTGTATGACTTATACATATATTTTGGAAATTAATCATAACATTTTGCAATAATGCATCTCCTTCAAAAATGAAAAAACATTTCCTTACCATGCAATCATAACACCATTGTCAGTGCAAAGTCTTGGAGGTGGACAAACCAATGTGAAATTGGTAGCATCTGCTAGAAGTTGCAGAGATCTACGGACATATTGATTACTTGCGACACCTCCTGAAACAACCTGAAAGCAAAGTTGAAAGAGAAAAAATGTAACTTTTATGCTGTAATGTAAATCCTCATTACTTGGTAACCCTGTTGCTACAATAATTATGAAACTCAGCAGATATACATTTAAATTGCTGAAATCATCTTTTGAAGAATTAAATGTTGTTCTATGAGATTGCTCAAGTTCTTGGAGAGAAAAGATTGCTGAACTGCAATGAGATTTGGCAATTACGTAAAATTTCAGCCATTTATTTACTGGATTGTCTAGAGATCTATTATCCTTTACTCGTATCTGGATTACACAACTCTTTCTAATCCAGTCCTGTTAAAGTCCTACAAAATTTCCTTGGAGATCAAGACCTTAGTATTCTTTTTTTAATTAAAAACTCTTTATTTCCTTTCCAATGTGCAGGTATGTCTGATATTCTTTTCCTAAATGAAGAAAAATTCTATCGTCAACATACATGATTCCATAGAAGGTGATTGTTCTGTTTTATTGAGGAGGAATACTTATGCAAATGCTCTTCACTTTATGTATTTTAATAACTGTAGTCTGGAGCTATATAATGACAAATGTACTAATTCATCAAACCCTAGATGATGGAAATAGCCAAAGCTTCACAAATCAATAATGCCTGGTTTAGCGATGGTCCCTTCAAATAGCTGTAAATCAACTACTTTAGCCCCTTGGAGCAGATAAAAAATGGATGAGCTTTTGCTTTAAATGATCATTTCCCCTGAAAGTCTCAATAAAACAATAAGGGTGATTCTCCATGCCTTTTTTGATGCTCTAGCCATGGCTGAATCTGTTTAAAATTCTATATATTAAGACAGGACAGGACAGGACAGGATAGGATAATCTTTGTAGTTTTTTTTCTGTGAACGCACCAGCACACATTTAAAAGAAATGAAATTTTGATGTCTTAATTTTGATCCTTGTTAGGATTTATTGCTTAAATTAAACAATTTTCCCCAAAAGAGAAATGAAGCCTCTGAAATAAGAACTTCCTAACAGATAATCTGAATTAATCTCATTAATGTGGAAAAGAAGTTATTTCTTAAACGAAACCTCTGGAAGGTTTTTTAAATATCATAACCAATATGGTAGCTTCTATATTAGGAGTTTTTTTTTTTTTAAAAAAAAGATACTTGTTTTCAAATGAACCTAAAATAGGAATGAAAAATGTCGATCAATATTCCTATACAGGCAATGAATGCTTGTGAACAAGGGATGCAGAGCAATGAGAACAAGGCTGTAATGCCCAGGGTGCAATTAAGGAATATCTGGCAGCCGAACAGGTAGACACAGTCTCTCTTTCAGCTAATTTCTCCCAATTGTAAGCAGAGTTCAGTCTTGGAATATTTTACTTCCTTCATGGTAACAAAGCCTGGCCTTACTTGGAGTCTGTCCCTTGGCTAGTTCACTATTTCCATGATCAAGCAGCAGTCAGTCTTGGAATCTGAGGTAATAATGAAAAGTGTAATCTTCACACAGAACTTACCAAGGTTTCCTTTCCTGGGGGTATGATTCCTTTCTCTTTGCAGAAGAGAATAGCCCGATGGGTTCGCTCAGCAATGTGAACAGTCATTGTGTACAGGGCAGCCGCAGCAAGATCCGGAAGACAAGAGAGATGTTGCCCTTCCTGAAGGCCTGCAGAAATCACACACACACAGATATATTTTCAAAGCGGACATGCACCAAAACACACCCATACAGTTTGTGACTCTTTAGGCAAATACCTTCTGCCTTTTCTTCTTTTGAAATCTTTCTAGTGATTTCGCTTTGCAGACCAGCAAAAGAGAAGGTGCAATCACGGTATCGCTGCATTGGGACTGTGAATTTGTATCGCAAAATGTTACCCTGCTGAGCCAAGATTTCTATTGCTCTCCCACCAGACTTGCCAGAGCACTCTGGATGATTATGTAAAGAAAGACTTCTAGCTACCTTTAAAAAAAAAGTAAAGGAAAAGAAAAAAAAAAATACATTCACAACAGATTCAAGAAATATCTCAATTCAAGTTTACAACATTAATTTTTTAAAAGCAATCTTTCTTATTAGTTTATCCAATGTGTATTTTTGACAAAACAAGTAATGTGGATTTTCATGATGCAGCACAAGGGAATATGCTTCATACATTAATGAGGTGTGCTGACTTATATCAATAAAATTAATCATGCTTTTTTAAAAAAAGAAATGGATAGATTGTAATCCTATTTAAAGAAACTAATTTTTCCCCTAAAAATATGTGTCGCCCCATGGGATATCTTAAATGTGAGTACGAGTAGTCCTCGACTTACGACCATAGTTGAGCCCAACATTTCTGTTGCTAAGCGAAACATTTTTTAATTTGCCCATTTACGACTTTTCTTGCTACAGTTGTTAAGTGAATCACTAGCGTTGTTAAGTTAAAAACAGAGTTGTTAAATGAATCTGGTTTCCCCGTTGACTTTGTTTATAGGCAGGTCACAAAAGGGAATTACATGAGCCTGGAACACTGCAACTGTCATAAATATGAATCAGTTGCCAAGCATCTGAATTTTGATCATGTGACCATGGGGATGTTGCAACAGTCATTAAGTGTGAAAAATGATAATAAAAGTCACTTTTTCAGTGTCATTCTAACTTTGAATGGTCACTAAGTGAACTGTTGGAAGTCAAGGACCACCTACAACTAACATACTTTTTCAGGTAAATGAGAATGTGGCTGAAATGACTCTGGTTCCAAGCTTTCATTACCTTACTGATATTATGGGGAGTAGGTCGATTTTATCACTCAGGCCACTTGAAGGAATCAAGTTTGGGGACCTGCATTTTTGCCTTTGTGTTATATGGGTGTTGCAGGCAGTTTGGTTTATGTTACCCTGCCATTTCCAGAGTAAATGGAGCTTTTTGGCCTGTTTTCTGGATGTTTTAGAGGTGGAGAAGTTTAATGAGAAAATCAATTCCCTTCAGAACTCAAATGGGGCTTTTTAAAAAGGTAAAATAGAAATCAGTGAGTGGAAATGAGATGTTGGAGAAACACATGCAGGACAATCTACACTTGCTTAAAACAATCCATACATGGAGGACCTCCAAATGTGAAAATCTCTAGAAGTTGCCACCGAAATATGTTTAATCTTATAGAAGTGAGAAATTATTGAGAACATGAAGAGTAATTTCATCTCTTTAAACATTAAGTTTGTGTACCAGCCCTACTCAACTTTTGGATGGTGCCTCAGTATATTACTCAAAGGATTTTGGCTTAAAAATATTTATATGTCAATAATCTATATTAAAATGAATCACCTTGTCAAGCATGTCCCCTGGTGCGATGTCCTTTGTTTGTCCAAGAAGAAGAAAATCTGAAACTCCTTGTGCTACTGCCAGTATACAATGACCCCCCGAGAGTAAAAGGACAAGAAAAGGAAATGGTACGAGGTCCGTCAGTCGGACAGTGAGAGCATGTGCTTCCATATGATGGATAGGGATAAAGGGTTTCTGATGCTTCTTCACCAGTTCTAAACTATATTTCAATCCAATTCCAAGGCTTAATGCAAGTCCTGGCATCACAGTTGTTGCAACAGCCGAGATATCCTCCATACTGATGCCACTGGATGAGACTGCATGTTGTACCACCCTTGCGATATTTTCTTGGTGAAGCTGCTGTGCTACTGGAGGAATAATGCCACCTGTTCTAATCAGAAATACACACCTGTGAAATCCACTGGCCAGATTGTAATAATTTTATAACATCATATTATATACTTTATCATCTTAACATATTACTGATAAGAATTTACATGTAACATTGTAATTACAGCAACCTGTTTTTATATATATATAAACATATATATTTTCGTAGATTTTCACAGGTACAGGTATGTAGGTCTAGGTGTGTTCGGGTCTTTTCCCGTGTAAGATTAAGAGTATCTTGACGACGTTTCGGCGAGGTCCCACTCGCCATCCTCAGGCTGGTGCTTTCGGCTTCGTGCCAGTGCAAGCAGTGTGTGATCGGAGCTGCCGTCTCTCTATAAACACTGGTGTGGGGTGCTGGTGTACTGGTCTGGTTGCCTGTGCTGCTGCCTCTTGATTGGTTGATGGAGTTGATGTTGGTACAATGGGCTGTGTGATGGCCTTGTGAGTTTTGTTGTGGAGATATGCTGGATCTTGTGCTTTAATCTCCTGGGTCGTTTGTGTTTTGATCTCTTTTCCATTAGCCTCCTGTGTTGTAACGGCTTGGGTAATGAGTTGTATGGTGACCTTGTGAGTTTTATTGCTGTGGTATCCTTGGTCTTGAGCTGTGATTTCCTGGGTCTTTTGCTGTGTTGCAACTTCTTGAGTTCTTGTGGTGTAATTTCCTGAGTTTTCTGATGTGATATCCTGAGCGGGTGGCTGTGATGTAGCATTCTGGGTTTTGGTCTGGCTTCGAGTTTGGGGTCTGGGTCTGTGTTCTTGGTGTGTGTCAGCTCCACAACAAAACTCACAAGGCCATCACACAGCCCATTATACCAACATCAACTCCATCAACCAATCAAGAGGCAGCAGCACAGCCAACCAGACCAACACACCAGCACCCCCCACCAGTATTTATAGAGAGACAGCAGCTCCGATCACACACTGCTTGCACTGGCACAAAGCTGAAAGCACCAGCCTGAGGATGGCGAGTGGGACCTCGCCGAAACGTCGTCAAGATACTCTTAATCTTACACGGGAAAAGACCCGAACACACCTAGACCTACATTATGTGTGTGTGTGTGTGTGTGTGTGTGTGTGTGTGTATTCTTAAGTTTTTGCGGGTATTTATATGTATGGTATCCAGCTTTGTTTGGGTATTTTCCACGTCATTTTAATTGCGCTTTTAAAGTTGTAGCGACGTTTCGGCAGAATCTCATCTGCCATCATAAGGCTTGTGTATGAGACAACTTTGAAAGCACAACTATAATGACGTGGAAAAATACCCAAACAAAGCTGAATACCATACATACATACATACATACATACATACATACATACATACATAAAAATAAAAATACAGGTGGATTGATGTCCTGCCACCCTAACCCTGTCTCTCCTTTTTTCCTCCCACCTGTCTTGCCTGATTGTTCTGCAATATAATCTTAACACCACTGACAGATCCTGCCAGTAGAGGTAATCCTTGTCTTACAACAATTCATTTAGTGACTGTTCAAAGTTACAACAGCACTGAAGAAAGAGACTTATGACCATTTTCCACACTTTTAAAAATAATTTTATTTATGATTCCCCCCCCCACTTATGACCATCACATGATTTACATTTGGATGCTTGATAACTGACTTATATTCATGAAGGTTGCATTGTCCTGGGGTCACATAATCCCTTTTTGCGACCTTCTGACAAGCAAAGTCAACCAGATTCACTTAACAACTGTGTTATTAAGTTAACAACTGCAATGATTCACTTAAATGTGGCAAGAAAGGTCATAAAAAGGTGCAAAACCCATTTAACAAATTTTTCACTTAACAATATAAATTTTGGGATCAATTGTGGTCATAAGTTTAGGACTACCTATATAGTTTCCCTAACAGCAATAAAGATTGAGATTAATTATCGGCCATTAGAGAATGCTGACCCTTTTCGGTCTCTTGACGTCACTAATCACATTATAGTGATTACAATTAAGTCTATCTTGCAAGATTCCTATCACAGCAAAGTTGGGGGTGGGAGAAAAATCACTGATTTATTCAGAAATGTACATAGATGCTCATAAAATACCTAAACTTCTTAAGATTCTGGAGGAAAAAGGAAAGTTAAGTGCAAGAAACAAATTGTGATTTAAATCTATTTTTCTAACTTCCTACGGTGGTTCTAGATCTATGGGCTCCTTTTTCTTTCCTATTCTTTCAGGAAAGCTGGCAACTGAACCATTCACAACTTTTAATTCATGCAAAAGTTTCTTTGGAAATGCTTTTGGTCAAAAACCTGTTTTTTTCACTGAGTTTGAAAACCTCACAATCATCATCAGTGCTCATAATATGGAGGTTTTGCTACAGAACCTGCTTGGGGGTGGGTGGGACAAAACTTCAAACAAGAGTGTTCAGAAATTTCAGTGAGTAAAAATTTTTATCAGCCATTTCTTCATACAAGAAGGACCTATGTGGCCTGTTCTACCAATTTTGAAAACCAGGAACAGGATAACAGCAACCTAATGTAATTTGCTAATATGAACTACAGGCCATTTTTCAGATATCTATGAATGGAGATATAAAACATGATATGAAATAGTTCATATTCCATTTATTGGTAAGTTTTAACTTCATTCTAAACCATACTCATTCTTGGCTCCCAAAGAAGAACTCTACAAGCGTGTTATAACATTTTATAGTTTTTTATTAAGTTGTAATAAAATGTTTTGTCTGGATGCCTTTAGTAATTCAAACTGGCATTATTCCTAGCTCAAAGCCCTAATTTTAAAGCAAAGGATCAGATTTCTAAAACATAGAAGAAATGCATAGAATACGTAAAAATGGCAATATTTATACACTACACACACACACACACAAACAGCAATAGCTATTGCTAGGCAAATTGTAGCAACTGAAACATATTTTCACCCACAATAAGAATTACTTACTTTAAATGAACATCAGCTTGAGAATGTAATGCTTCTCCTAAAATGCTACCAGTTTCATCCACCACAGCAGCTCCTGTATCATCACAGCTGGTTTCTATTCCCAGAACTATTTTAGTAGAAATGGATTTGCCACCATGAACAGAGACCTTTCTTAAATAATTATTCCAAGAACATATAGGAGTCTTCAACATTCTTCCCAAACTGGTCGCTTGTTAAAAGATTTCAGAAAATAAGGACCCCTAAAAAGAAGCTATATAGAAATGAAATTTAGAACAATATCCACTAAAAAGTCTGCTTCTTACACATTTTAAAGTGAGGCGTGTGTCACACTGATGAAATCACGAAGTTCTTTTGTTTTTGGTTTAGAGGGAAGCTATAACTGAGATATACCACAAAAGGTGCACTCACATCAGGGACTGGCAGGAAGCCGAGTGGCCACAGCTCTGACCTGGCTGGCTTGCCTTTCCCTCTGCCACCAGGTGCAGGAGCAAGGTAACGTTTCAGGCAGTCAGGAAAGCCAAACTGCTCTCTAGCCCAGAGCTGCCAGCGAGGGAGGGGGAGCGACGCTGCAGCACTTGCCTCTCTTGAATTTCTCAGCCCTTTCCTTTCCCCAAAAGCGGGAGGGGAGGAAGTCTTTGGAAGTCTCAAAGGGGTGGACCCTTTTGTTAGACCCGGAAGCTTTGCCTGTCAGCTTTTCCGGGCAACGCGGGACAGGAGACTGGCTGCGACGCTGCCGGGTGCTTGAAAGAGAGAGAGAGAGAGAGAGAGAGAGAGTGTTAGAGTGTTTCAGGTGGGTCTCCTCTCCTAGCTTTAGAAGGAGAGAGGGGTAGGGAAGGATAGAAAGAGAAGGAAAGAGAAAAAAAGAGATGGGAAGAGAGAGATTGAAAGAGAAAGAGAAGAGAGAAAGAGAAGGAGAGAGAGAGAGAAGGAAGAGACAAGAAAGAAAAGGGAAAGAAAGAAAAAGGGAGAAAGAAAGAAAGAAAGGGACAGACAAACACGGGATGGAAGGAAGGGAGAGAAAGAAAGAGCAGGAAGGAGGGAGGGAGGAGAGGGGGGAAAAGGAGAGAAAGGAAGGACACAAACCCTAGCTTCAGAAGACTCTTTGAAATAGGACAAGAATCTAGAGCTGTAAGGGATCTTCTTCTAGTCCAAGGGTTTTCAAAGTTTGCAAGTTTAAGACTTGTAGACTTCAACTCCCAGAATTCCTGAGGTAACATGACTGGAGGAGGAATTCTGGGAGTTGAAGTTCACAAGTCTTAAAGCTGCTAAGTTTGAAGACCCCTGTTCTACTCCAACCCCCTGCTCCAGCAGGAAATCCTTACAGAATCAAAGAACAGCAGAATTAGAAGGAACATTGGAGGCCATCTAATCCAACCCCCTGCTCCAGCAGGAGACCTTATATCATCTGGAATCTGGATTATTTTGGTGCTGAAAGGGACATTAATAAATAAAGAAATATAGTAAAATATATTATAGCATTAAGTAGAGAGCTACTCTACAGGCATTTGTTATCTCGCTGTTGTAAAAAATACTTCCTTAACCTTTTACTTGTTGTAAAACAATTATAAATACATGCTGCAATAAGTTACACCCCTCTCCTATTAAGATCTTAAAGGTACAGGGCATTTTTCTGTATTTTGTAGAATTTTCCTCCCATGTCTCTTTTGATGTGCTTGGAACTTCTTCCCAGGTCTTTAATTTTGATCAAAGAATAAAAGTCTGCTTTCCTTGATTTGCAAACCTCCATTTAAATCTTAGTTTGGGTTCATTTTTGGCTTAAGCATACTGCCAGACCTTACAGTGCCTCTAACAGAGAGGAAAATTGGCAGAGGAGTTTATTAGGACGAGGCTGCCATGTAGAGGAAGGCAGAGATAGTCCTTCACTTATGACCACAATTGAGCCCAAAATTTTGGTTGCTAAGCAAGAGCGTTGTTAAGTGAGTTTCACCATATTTTACTCAATTCATGACATCTCCTGGGTTTAACGGTCATATGCTTTTCGTAGGATGCTTGCTTTGAGAAGGGAGAGGGAATAGTAAAATTAATGATTGATGGGAGTAGATAAGTCTGTTTGAACGAGGCCATAACCAAAAAGAATTAGGCAGTTATGGTGAGGTTCCACGCATAGTCATTTTTGATGTATAATTGTAGGCAACGCTTGCATGTTTTTTAATGGCCGAGGAGCCAAGATGCACAAACTAGATGTTGTAACCTGCAAGTCTTCACTCCAGTCTGCTTTTTGAGCGGGAGCCAGAGAAGCCACTGATTGGCTGAGTTGTTTCACAGCTCCATATAAAAGGAGCTGTCAAACAGGATCAGCTGTCTCTTTCTCGGCTGCTGCTGCAAGCTAGTGGCTAGCCGTGGCTGAGAAACATTTTAATGAATAAAGCCTGTTAGCTTTATTCCTGCCTCTGCCTCTTTTCACGCGCCAAACACAAAACTGGTGATGAGGATGGGATCGTTAGCAAACTGAGGCAACACTGAGGCAGAGAGAGAGAGCACTTAAAAAGGCTGAAGTCACTACTAAGAGCTGTCACTAAGAGCTTTCACTATAAGCGGAGAAATGGCAGCACCGCCAAATTTCCCACCTTTTCAGCCAACCATCGAGACGTGGACATCCTATATTAACAGATTCAAATGCGTCATGGACGCCGTGAACCTATCTGACATTCCTCCGAACAGGAAAAAAGCCTATTTCCTGAGCTTCTGTGGGGCAACCATCTTCAACACAGCAACAGCCTTGCTGTCACCTCAGACAGTTAAGTCTGTCACCTGGGAAGAGCTGCAGGAAGTGCTCGGAAACCACTATGCCCCAAAACCATCACACATTGCCCACTGCCATGCCTTCCAGCGAAGAAGTCAGGCATAGGGAGAGTCCGTGAGTGAATGGCAGCCAGTTTTTGTTCCACTGCCCTCCAGTGCGGAATCCGAGACCACCTGGATGATATGCTGCTGGACCAGCTCGTCTGTGGGGTGAGAGACCTTTGGCTACAAAGACGGCTGCTGGCAAAAGCCAACCTCAACTTAAAACAAGCTATTGAGGAAGCGCAGGCAGCCAAACTGTCAAACCTATCCGCAGCCAAAATTCAGAAAACCAGCAGCCTTCCCGGGGTAAAACCTAGCTCTACAGTTCACTACAAAGATACCTACTTTGAATATGAATACTTCGAAGAGGAAGAAGCAGTAAATCGCCTCAAAATACCTCAAACCATGCAGAGAAGAAGTCTCCCTACAGACAAGAGACAACTGACACCACAGCTGATTTGCCTCAGCTGTGAGGGCAACCATCTGAGAGCCACTTGCCGCTTCAGAAATGCAGTCTGCCTCAAGTGCCAGAAGAAGGGTCACCTGGTGAGGATTTGTGAAGCACTAAGAAATACAAACCAGCCACCTCAGCATCTGAACTAGCCAAGAAACTTCAAACCCAAAGAGGAATGCTATGCCATCAACAAAGCATTCCCAAGAGCTGAGTCACTGCCCTATTGTTTTAATATTAATAAAATCAATGTTGATCTTCTCCCGGCAGCCCCTGTCGGATGGAGGTGGACACCGGGTCCTCACTATCCCTCCTCTCCTAGAAGACTCTGAAGAATCTGATGCCAGACATCAAAAAGAATCATCTGAATCCCTGCAGCCTGACATTGAGGGACTACTAGGGACAATCCATTCCAGTCCTCAGAACAGGCAAGTTCCATATTCAGTACAACAATTTTGAGGGTCACCTACCACTAATTATCGTAAATGGGAGCCTGCCAAGTTTACTGGGTTTGGACTGGTTCCACTTACTAGGACTACAAGTGACTGGAGTAAATACAGTCACTCTGCACAACCTAGAACAACTTCTTGCTAATTATTCAGAAGTTTTCGATGACAAACTTGGCTGTTACAATGGCACTCCTACACTGCTCAAAAAATAAAGGGAACACTTAAACAACACAATGTAACTCCAAGTCAATCACACTTCTGTGAAATCAAACTGTCCACTTAGGTAGCAACACTGATTGACAATCAATTTCACATGCTGTTGTGCAAATGGAATAGACAACAGGTGGAAAGCATAGGCAGTTAGCAAGACATCCCCAATAAAGGAGTGGTTCTGCAGGTGGTGACCACAGACCACTTCTCAGTTCCTATGCTTTCTGGCTGATGTTTTGAACACTTTTGAATGCTGACGGTGCTTTCACTCTAGTGGTAGCATGAGACGGAGTCTACAACCCACACAAGTGGCTCAGGTAGTGCAGCTCATCCAGGATGGCACATCAATGTGAGCTGTGGCAAGAAGGTTTGCTGTGTCTGTCAGCGTAGTGTCCAGAGCACGGAGGCGTTACCAGGAGACAGGCCAGTCCATCAGGAGACGTGGAGGAGGCCGTAGGAGGGCAACAACCCAGCATCAGGACCGCTACCTCCGCCTTTGTGCAAGGAGGGACAGGAGGAGCACTGCCAGAACCCTGCAAAATGACCTCCAGCGGGCCACAAATGTGGATGTGGCTGCTCAAACGGTCAGAAACAGACTCCATGAGGGTGGTATGAGGGCCTGACGTCCACAGGTGGGGGTTGTGCTTACAGCCCAACACCGTGCAGGACATTTGGTATTTGCCAGAGAACACCAAGATTGGCAACTTTGCCACTGGTGCCCTGTGCTCTTCACAGATGAAAGCAGCTTCACACTGAGCACATGTGACAGACATGACAGGGTCTGGAGACGCCATGGAGAACGTTCTGCTGACTGCAACATCCTCCAGCATGACCGGTTTGGCAGTGGGTCAGTAATGGTGTGGGGTGCAATTTCTTTAGGGGGCCTCACAGCCCTCCATGTGCTCGGCAGAGGTAGCCTGACTGCCATTAGGTACAAAGATGAGATCCTCAGACCCCTTGTGAGACCATATGCTGGTGCGGTTGGCCCTGGGTTCCTCCTAATGCACGACAATGCTAGACCTCATGTGGCTGGAGTGTGTCAGCAGTTCCTGCAAGACGAAGGCATTGATGCTGTGGGCTGGCCTGCCTGTTCCCCAGACCTGAATCCATTTGAGCACATCTGGGACATCATGTCTCGCTCCATCCACCAACGCCACGTTGCACTACAGACTGTCCAGGAGTTGGGGGATGCTTTAGTCCAGGTGTGGGAGGAGATCCTTCAGGAAACCATCCGCCACCTCATCAGGAGCATGCCCAGGCGTTGTAGGGAGGTCATACAGGCATGTGGAGGCCACACACACTACTGAGCCTCATTTTGACTTGTTTTAAGG